CAACAAATCCATACCCTGTTAAGTTTACGCTGTTTGAATGATATTTCGAAGTTCGATATATTTAAGACGCTGACATAGTTCGAAAATAGAAGTGGAAGGGAACTATAAATCATTCTTTCTAATCTATCCATGCATTTTCTCAAGAGCTTCCTCTTCAAAAATTAATCTTTTAAAGTTCTTCTGGAAGACTTCGCCAAGAAAAATAAGTTGGTGTGAATTCTACAAATAATTTTACAACACAAAAAGTTGAAAAATTAGTACCTGTAGTGAAACATTTTAGAGTTACAGATAGCGAATAGATTAAAACTAAATAGAATTTTCAGGTGGATGTTAATAATTTGATAAAATGGGGTCTGTACCACAGGCTATAAATAAATAATTCCTTTTAAATTAATTTATAATGCATGTAATGTGGTCATTGAATGTTGTAGTATGCGTGCACCGCTCCGTACTTTATTTTATTTTGATATTTTAACGATTAATATTTTAGTAACAGTTTTGTTTAGTTTTAATATTTTATTTTTGGGTTTACTTTGAACTATATATCCTACTCTATAACTTCCTGTATTACATTATCCTTTAATAATACCACCACTTAATCCGATATCTAGGATTCCACCTGGACAAACTTTTCGCTTGGAGTCTTCATACCAGACTGAAACGACAAGGAATAGCTCAACATTCCTAACTAGTCCAACACTTATTAGACAAACGCTATACGTTTTCAATTAATTACAAAAGACTCATATATATGATTATAATGAGGCATATTTGATGTGCGGAATTGAGCTTTGGGGCTCCATTAAATCATCGAATTCCTCTCGTTTACAATCCTTACAATCAAAGATCCTTCGTAAAATCCTCAATACTCCTTACTTTGTTACAAATAAAATCATCCATAAAGACCTTAACGTTCCATATGTTTCAAATTTGGTCAAATGCCGATACATACTTTTATAACAAACTTCAGAACCATCTGAACTAGTGTTGCCCAAATGCGAGACCGAGACGAGTCTTGGTCTTGGAAACTCGGGCTTGGTCTTGCAAACTCAGTCTTGGTCTTGCGCAATATTCTCGTAACAGTCTTGCAGTTACCTATTAGCTTATTACTATAGAGATATAACTGTAATTTTTTAGATATGAGAAACCTAATTAAGTCTGAATGAAAAATTAGAAGAGTTAAATATATTGGTTACACCAATTCTTTACATGTAGTAACTAAAATTGTCAAGCATTAATAACTATTTTGCCTCAATTTTTATTCAAAAAATCGTTTGTTTTTACCAATCTAGGTCTTGGTCTTGCAACAGAAGGGCGGTGTTGGTCTTGATCTTGCAAAAGTTCAAGACCAAGACCGATCTTGGGCAACACTAATCTGATCCCTCTCGTTTCAAACCTTACTTCCTCTTTGGTCCATGAAAACCCTTCGAGGAGTCTGAAAGGAAGATGGCATCATGATCTCCTTATGTAGATATTAATAAGCGTTTTTATGCCATTGTTATGTGCAAATTTACATGTGTTTATTTTAATACAGTTGTAATTCATAAATAACAACGATATGATATAATAATCATATGTCAAATGAAAAAATAAATATAAATTTATTTTAAAAGTGGCATTTTCTTTTAGGAGTTGTCCATGTTTAAAAAAAAAAAAAAAAAAAATCAATTTCTGGTTTACCTCGTTAGTAGTAGGGACCAGTGTTGGGCGTTATTTAAATAAATTATTTCAAATTTTATCTAGATAACGAATAATAGATAAACATTTATTCGTTATTCTTATTCAACGACCATTGGACGGATAATTATTTGTTATTTACAAATAATATGCATTATATATTATCTATTATTCCTCATTTAAGATGAAAATACAATTCGAATAACTTTTTTTTTTATTTTAAGGATTTCTTCGATATTTAGATCTGTTTATATGTTTTAGAGGCCACTGTTTTTGAAAAATGGATTGTAGCATTTAGATATAGCACCCCCGGGCGTTTAATTTTTCAGATTAAATCGATATCAGGGACGACTATTAGGTTTTGGTGGCGCTTTTTATGAAAATACTATTGGATTTGAGATTGTGCCCCCGGGCATCGACTTTTTGTAACTTTTCAGATTAAATCGATATCAGGGACGACTATTATGTTTGGAGAGCTATGAGAATACTTATGGCGTAATCTGAAAATGGAGATAATTTTAAAAAACAATGGATCTGAAAATATATAAATAGGCCCTTATATAGAAGAAATGTAAAATTAGAGTCAAATTAGTCGAAATTTATTTGAAAAATTAGAACAAAAAATAAAAAGATTATAGATAAGTTGAATTTATTTATTATCTAGATTAGTGTCGCCCAAAATCGGTCTTGGTCTTGCAAGACTCCGCCTCACAGTTACAAGACTGGTAAAAAAAAAAATCGATTTTTTAATACAAATTAAGGCAAAACAGTTACTAATGCTTGACAATTTTAGACACTATAAGTGAAGCATTGGTATAACCAATATACTTTTGCATTTAACTCTTCTAACTTTTCATTCGGGATTAGTTAGCTTTCCCTTATCTGAAAAAAAAAATACGGTAATATTTCTATAGTATTAAGCAAACAGGTAATTTGTAAATCAAAATTTCTAATAAATTTCCGAAACAAAGATGTTCTGTTGGTAATGGAAGATAAAAATTTTAATTTCTAATTTAAAAAGTATTACTCAAAAATAATTATTATTGTTGATTTTTAAAATTTTGATCAAAAATAATGATCAAGAAATAATTTTTATCACTTATGATTAAAAATAAAAATTTCTCTCGATAAACATCGTCAAATGACTTTTCAAAATTTCAGAGGAAAAGACTGAGATCGGAAGACCAAGAATCGTCTCAGTCGTTTCATTTGGGCAACACTAATCTTGATAAAATATAAACAGAATTATTCGTTATTCGTAGCTGAAAGTTCTAATGAATTATTTGTTAACTAGAATGGAAGAATCAATAAACGCAAACAACAAAAAAACTAAAAAATAAGTAATGAAAGAAGTATTTACATAAGTATACAGATAAATATAAGTATACAGATAAAAGTATACATATAAAAGATAAGTATACAGATAAAATAAATAAGTATAAATAATTATACAGATAAAAGATATTAAAGACATAATATGAGCAATAAGGTCCTAATACTGCAAAATAGTAGCTATAAACAATAAACTATGCAATTCTAAATGAAATTTGAAATGAGCGACAAATTACTTTTGCTGTCATACAATTGTATTAATGATAAAAAATAATAATAAAAGAGTGGATAAATATTTACTTTAAATGATTTAAATATGTACCTTAATATGTTCAAAGAATACAATAATAGTATTGCGAACATTATACAAGTCCTATATAATCTAAACCCTGAGATGTTGATTGATCGGAGAAAAAATAAAAGATAATAATACATATAGAGGAGATTATATACATACATAATAAACATGATAAATGGATACCCAGCGTCTGATTGAATTGTAAGGAGGAATTGGAATAAGAGGGTTTTAAATATGGGGCTATTATTTATTATCTAAAATAAATTTTGCCCAACAGTGGTGGGACCTCATTATTTATTTTTTATCAATCTTTATAAAAATCGATAAATATCGCACGCTATAAGGATATAATAATAATAATAATAATAATAATAATAATAATAAGGCTTAGCGAACCCGAAGGTTCGATGCCGACACCACCAATCGCTTGTTACACACCTCCCTCCACCGTTCGCCGTCCAAACCCAGTCCCTTCAGATCGGCTTTAATGCAATCTTCCCATCTTCGCTTCGGTCTACCCCTCGGACGCTTACCATTCGGCACAGCAAATATTAACCTTTTAGGAATTCTCTCGTTACTAAGGCCAACAACTTTACAAGCCCATTTGATTCGCCGCGATGAAATTACCTCAATTATATTACCCGGATACATCTCACGCAATTCGGCGTTGTGTAACCGTCTGAACTCTCCGGTTAACTCATCCTTTTTCGGTCCGAATATTCTACTCAACACTTTATTTTCAAAAACCTTAAGACGCTGCTCATCCCTTAATGTAAGCGGCCAAGTTTCGCATCCATAAAGAACTGTAGGCAAGATAATTGTTTTATAGATTCTAATTTTTAAGTTTCGGGACAAGAGGCGCGAACTAAGTAGTTTTGTCACAGAAAAATAACAAGCATTCCCCGCCTTCAGTCTAACCTTAATCTCTTCTTCAATTTCGTTTTTTCTAGTTATCGTAGAACCTAGATACCTAAATTTATCTACCGTTTCAAACATATTACCATCTATATCGATATGACCAGTAGTATCGCCATTTTTGCAGCTAACCATATATTTTGTTTTATTCACGTTTAATTCGAGTCCTAGTTCTTTCCCGGCTTTCATTAAAGTTGTCGTATTTAGTTTTATAGTTTCAACGTCTTCGCTTAGCAGTACCAGATCATCAGCATAGCCCAGCACGGATGTTGTCCCGCCCATATCCAACCCTTTCTCGGTTCGCATTACCTCCCTTATGGCATGTTCTAATGCCAAATTGAACAAGACAGGCGAAAGAGAATCCCCCTGTTTTAAGCCCGAACGAACCTCAAATTTTTCGGACAAATTATTACCGATTCTAACTTTATTGAGTGTCTCCGTCAAGCACATCCTGACTAGATTTACTAGTTTTTTTGGAATTCCCTGCTCTATTAGAATATTATACAGTTATAAGGATACAGCTATAAGGATATACAACTCATTTTAATAAAGGTAATGTATACAATAATATATTATAGAGGTAAATGTATAATATACTATACTATCCTAATCCTCCAGGTGAAAAGATATCTATACAAATCGATGCCTCCCCGCGGTATATTAAGGACGCGGAGAGCGGGGAGAGTCAGTCTGTGCCATGGCGCTCCCTGTCTACTATCGGAGGCTGCCCGGGTCCTACGGGAAGGGGGGGCAGGGGGCCCAGTGCGAGTCCAAGGGGGGGCAGTTCGAGTCCAAGGGGGCGCAGCCCAAGACCAAGGGGGGCCACCAGCAGCCCCTCGTGGGGGAGACCTTCTGCCTCTCCTGTCAGCCCCAGGCCATGACGTTCTCCCAGGCCTGGAATATCAAGGCCCCCAAACCTGTGAGTACGCTCTTATCTTATCTTAATATAAAAGGAAAAAAAATAACATATATATATATATATATATATATATATTATAATTTGTTTCTTAATAAATAATAAACAAAAAAAGAAAAATTATTACCATGGGACAAAACCGTTTTAAGCAATAAGTTCTCTCTAAAATATATCAAATGAAAAGTTAATTAAAGAACAAATTCCGAATACATTAACCTTTCGTTAATGACATATACAGGAGTGTCCCCTAAGTGGAGACAGATATTCAAAGAAGTAATAATAGAACTCAAGCGCTACAAAAAAGTTGATATAAACAATGGTTCAATTTTTGGCAAAAAAGTAGGAAATTTAAGTTTTGTGTTTTTCTTAAGTAAGTCATGTTTTTTGATGAATATGAAGCGATAACTAATGAAATATTTAATTTAATTAATTAACGTTTGTTTCCCTGTAGACTAGATAAAATTCACCTTTAACGGAAATAGAATTTAGTCATTGTTAAAACTATTTAAAGAGAACTTTTGATGTCGATTTTTAAAATTTTATTTAATAATTAAAGAGGTATAATACAAACAGTGAAATACAATACAATAATAAAAGCAAAGAAAAGTATTAATATAGAAGAGACAAATAAGATTATTATTTGTCTTAAGAATAATAACAGTTTTTGCATACTTTCAGGTTTTTGCAGTGTCGATATGTAATAATACGTAAAACTGACAATAATATACAAATATATTATACAAGTGAAATTAGGAAGGTACTATATCGCAGACTTAAGTTTCGAGTATGTATATTATCACTATTATTTAAAACTTAATTTTCTTAAATTATTTTCCTTCGTTTTAATCGATTAGGTACTAACCCTCTAATAAGAATATAGATGACTTTTAAATACTTGTACGTGGTACAGACCCCTCTTTATCAAATTAGTAATATCCACCTGAAACTTCGTGAATGGGCTTTATCTTATTATAACATCTATATTTTCTACTTACGAAAAATCTCCAAAATTGGTCGTTTTCTTAGTAAATTAATTAGGTACTAAAAACTCATAAATATTCATTGCTTTCAACCAAAAAAAAAAAATATATATCACCTATAAAAATATTGGACCATTTATAATCTCGTTATTTTGACATGTTGGAGGTGGAGGCCAAACTGCCTAATATTTTTGTAGGCCATCTTTATTCTCGGTTTTGTGATCAAATTAAATATATATATATATACATAAATAATAAAAAAAAATTATTACCATGGGACAAAACGGTTTGAAGTATAAAATATTTCAAATAAAAAGTTAATTAAACAACAAATTCCGAATTCAACAGCGTTTCGTTAATGACGTTACAGGGTTTCTCCTAAAAAGAGGCAAATATTCAATGAAGTGATAGTAGATATGAAATTACAAGTCATCAAAAAATTTGATATAAACAATGGTCCGATTTTCGACAAAAAAGTAGGAAATTTAAGTTTTATGTTTTTCTTAAGTAAGTAATGTTTTTTGTTGAACAAGAAGCGATAACTAAAGAAATATTTAATTTAATTACTTAACGATTGCTTCACTGTAAACTAGATAAAATATACCTATAACGGAAAAAGAATTCGTCATTGTTAAAACTATTTAAAGAGAACTTCTGATGGGCTAAACTAACTTAAGTTTTGTTTTTTAAAAAATCAGAAAATATGCATGGTTTTTTTTTATCACCCACTTATTATACTATAGATACTCGACTTTTTAGAAAAACTACTTCGTTTCATAATCTTTAATTTTATTTTAATTAATCCTGAGGTTTACTAGGCAAAAACTATTTTTATTTAGTAATTATCGTTAATAACTAAATGTCAAAAATATTATATAATGTATAATAATTAAAATAATTTTTATTTGTGAAACATGTCGACTTACACCATAAATATTCATAAAGAAACTAATTTAAATAATTGGAAATGCCAACAAATAAATCACTCAATTGTTGCAACTCTAAATTAAAAAAATCTTTATTAGATAGTTAATATTAGGCTTTTTTCATATGTTTAATAAATCGTTAATAAGTTGTTTACCATCAGTCAGTTTTTTATTTTTTTTACTTACCTGTATTATGATACTACATATTATAATCAAAATGATGTGAGTATGTCTCTGTATGTATGTGAACAATTTACCTCAAACAAAAAAACTCACGAAAATGAAATTTAAGATAAAAATATTCCTCGGATGTTATATAAACTTTTTACCGATAACCAGAACCGCCATTTTATATAATAAATTTTATATACTTTTATAATTTTCTTGAAAACTGCTCTGACGATTTACATTTTTTGAATAATATATGAAAAATTAAACAGTCTTTAAAATCAGCTAGGTCTTATCTTGCATTGCTCTAGGTTAACAGGGCTTAAATGTCAATTTTTTAATTTTAAATCTTATATTTGGTGAAGCTTTCGGTCTCCAGCACCATTTCGCATTTCTATAAAATACAAATATAACATTAAATTAAAACACTAATACTATTCTCTACCTTTTCTTACGGATAATGTTATTATATATCAAAGTTCGCTTTTTTTATGGAACCCGAAAGCTCCAAATACATAGTTCTGATCTCAGCAATGTAAATGAGGTATCTGTAATAAATTGGAAGTTTAGAGTTTATCTTGTCAATTTTGGAGTGATGAATCATGCAAGAGTATTTCAAGTTGGTTGCTTGTTCATATTAAGTCCCAAGCAAGAGGTTTGAAGTTTCAACTAGAAGTTTCGAGCGCTTCTACAGTAAATGTTGGTTTAATCGGAAACGTAGTTTCTTGTCGTTCTAGTATTATATTAGCATTCGAAGTTATCAGTATCTTATCTAGATGTAGACAGGCCTACATAGATAGAACAACAGGGATAAGTTAAAAATAAATAAAATATGAATAACCAACCACCGATAGGATAACAGTGAAGAGATATAAAAGGAATATTTGACAAACAGAGCATACGTGACAACTTGTCACTGACAAGCATAGGATTATTTCTCAAACAACAATAATTGGTACGACTTGTAAAACAGTAGTATATGATCGACACAAAGTCTATAATAATAAAGTTTAATAATAAGTTGATATTGGGATACAATCAAACTAAATAAAAATTAAAGAGGTATAATACAAAACAGTGAAATACAAAACTATAAGAAAAGAAAAGAAAAGTATTAATGTAGAAGAGACGATTGTTATTTGTCTTAAGAATAATATCAGTTTTTGCATACTTACAGATTTTTGTAGGTTCGATATGTAATAATATATACAAACCGATTATAGTATACAAATATATTACAGAAGCGAAATTAGCAAGGTACTATATCGCAGTTTCGAGAGACTTTAGTTTCGACTATGCATATTATCACTATCACTTAAAACTTAATTTTCTTAAATTATTTTTTCTTCATTTTAATCGATTAGGTACTAACACTCTAACAAAAAACGTTTTAGTCTTATATTAGCAATCAAAATTATCGGTATCTTGTCTAGATGTAGGTAGGCGTACATAGATAGTACAACAAGGATAAGTTGAGAATAAATAAAATGTGAATAACCAACCATAGATAGGTAAAAGTGACGAACAATAATAGGAATTTGGAACAAGCAGAGTATTATTGGAACAAGCATAGTATTATTTGTCAAACAAAATAATTGCAACGACTGGTAAAACAGTAATATATGATAGATACAAAGTATATAATAATAAAGTTTAAGAGTCATAAAGCCTAATAATAAGGTGATATAGGAATACAATCAAATTAAATAATAATTAAAGAGGTAAAATACAATACTATAATAAAAGAAAAGTATTAATATAGAAGAGACGATTATTATCTGTCTTAAGAATATCAGTTTTTGCATACTTACAGATTTTTGTTGGTTTGATATAATATATAAAACCGATAATAGTATGCAAACATATCACAGAAGCGAAATTAGGAAGGTGCCATATCGCAGACTTTAGTTAAAACTTAATTTTCTTAAATTATTTTCCTTCATTTTAATCGATTAGGTACTAAACCTCTAATAAAAATTTAGATGACTTTTAAATACCTAATTTAAAAAATGAATACTTGGTCATATTTTAAAACCATAAATCACTCGTCAGTCTTAGTCCGTGGATCCCTTTTTTATCAAATTATTAACATCCACCTGAAACTTCGTGAATGGGCTTTATCTTATCGTATACACATTTTCTATTTATGAAAATTCTCCGAAATTGGTCGTTTTCTCATAAAATTAATTAATTTAATTAGGTACTAAAAACTCATAAATACCCATTTGCTTTCAACTAAAAAAAACAAAAACAAAAAACACCTACATAAATATTGGACCGTTTGGCCTTTATAATCTCCTTATTTTGACATGTTGGGGGTAGAGAACATGCCAAACAGCCCAATATTTTTGTAGACCACGTTTATTCTCGATTTTGTGATCACATTATCTATCGATTAACGGGAAAGCAAATGGGTGTTTATGAGTTTTTAATACCTCGTTAAACAGACAAATCTAATTTACCGATCTCCAGATTGAAAGCGTCCCGATTTCAAGAATTTTCTTAAATAAAAAAGTTGTTGGTTACGATGAAATGAAGCTATTCACGAAATTTTATGCGGATGTTATCAATTTCATAAAAAGGGGTACCATTTGGGGGGGGGGGGGCTTCAGCCCAAAGCCTCCTCCCTCACGTAGATCCGTCTGTATTGGAAGGCACCCGACTTCTACAACAATCTTAAATATTTGTGGACCTCAATCTTCCTAATAATCTACAAAGGTGTTTAAGTAAATATGCAAGTATATTCCCTTAGAATGGTTAAAGTTATTTCTGTATTCTATCTTTTTAAAATTAAATTGTTTTGTTTTTATTTTAGTTTTCAAGTATGGACAATTTATATTCAGGATATATAATTACGAATTTAGGTATGATATGATATGAAAATAACGAAAATTGAGAATAATTAAAAGGTAATATAATCATTTTTTCA